TGTCATAATGAAATTATATATATATAGAAATATATATATATATATATTTTTCGTTACAATGTTGTTGTTTTTTTTACTTAATTTATATTAACTTGTTTAATTTTCTTTTATTTAGTCATTACAACGTCAGACTAATTTGTTCCATATCATTTACGTGATATTAACGATCCTCCAGTTCATCTTGATTATCAACAAAAAGCGAATTGGATAAGTGCTGCAAAAAAGACGAAGAAAAACTATCAATATCAATAACAACAACCAGCACTTGATATACCAACATCATTTTATGAAATTATGTATGCAAACAAATATACAACAACTGAAACAATGTAAAAATTAATTAATCATGTATGAAATTGTAATGAATTTACATTTGATACTGAAGGTGAAAAATCAATCAAATAATTAGCATTAATTCAAATTCAAACAATACCTCAACAATTACCATTTTTTCTCATATTAGTAGAACTTGCACATTTACCACCAATTCATTCATTAATAGGCGTGTTACATGAGAAAACCATCTTAAGAACGGCTGAACATATCGAGCTGTCCGCTAGTACTTAAGGGTTTCTCGATGTGCTCTTTCTTTTGTCTAGCAGACACTTTTGTCCGAAATGCTCGGAAGCAGGTTTTCTAGAAAACCGTGGTTTTGGAACCAACGATCACGAGAGTTTTTTTTGTTTTAACAGTCTATAATGATAGAGCAATCAATTCTCTACAAAATGAAATGTCTCTGAGCTCTCTACGACGTTTTTTGGTCGAGTTACATTAATTTTAGTGAAGAGCAAAAGCCATTTTTTCGTTTTTTCCCGGAGGAAATAGCAGAAAAAATGGCTTTTGTTCTTCACTAAAATTGATGTAATTCGGTCAAAAAACGTCGTAGAGAGCTCAGAGACATCTCATTTTGTAGCGAATTGGTTGCTCTATCATTATAGACTGTTAAAACAAAAAAACTTTCGTGATCGTTGGTTCCAAAACCACGGTTTTCTAGAAAACCTGCTTCCGAGCATTTCGGACAAAAGTGTCCGCTAGACAAAAGAAAGAGCACGTCGAGAAACCCTTAAGTACTAGCGGACAGCTCGATATGTTCAGCCGTTCTTAAGATAGCCTATACCAACTTTCTCATGTAACACGCCTATTCATTTACAAATTAAACAATTATTTGAATTAAATTTTAAATTTAGAAATAACATATATTCTTGGGAACCATTACTTAAGGAAATTTATCCAGCTATTGTTTATCAATGGTTTGAATGACCAATTAAAACATCAGTGGTTAATCTTCAACTTAAATTTGCTGATTGGTATAGTTGGACACTATCTCATTGCGAGATGTGTAGCCTGTCAAATCGTCGTAATGTTATTATTAATGATATTAATTCTGATGGACAAATGATTTTATTATCAAAATGTACTTGTCATAAATCAAGTCCTTATCGTCCTAATGAACCATGAGCATTACAACAAGCTTTAGTTTATACATATGGAATGTTTATTGACAAGTCAATTACTGTTAATGAATGGACAACGGAATTAGATTCAATGTACTCAACCTTATCAACATCAAAAAGAAATAAAATGATACATTATGCAATATGTGATTGTTTTGCAACAACATGTTTAATTCGACCTGTTACATTATATTGAACATTTCAACAGGTAAAAAAAATTCGTATTCTTCATTTATTTCAAGCATTACCATCATCAACACGAGCTAATAACAACCCAACAAATACAAATATTAATCAACAAATAATTAAGAATATTAATGATGATATTGAATTAATCTCCGATGATGATGATGATGATGATGAAATAACAGTTAATCAATGTATTAAAATTACTATTAATAATGATATATTATATGAAGAAATTTCAAATGATGATAATGAATTAAATAAAGCATTACCACTAAATAATAATGAATCATTATATGAAGCAATATCAAATGATGATAATGAACCAAATCCAACATTACCACCAAATGATAATAATTTATATGTCAACAACCATTCTATGGTTGATGATGTCAGTGATTATGAACAACAGCAACAATCTTTAACCAAGAAACGTCCATTACATAGTCGAACACGATCAGCTGAAGCTCGAAAACGACGAAATCGAAAAAGACATCTTTATTTCCGAATGCAACGTTATAGATATTTTATCACTCGTCCATTCCCCTACAGATTTACAATGAAATTAGTTCGACATATTCTTGCTGAATACAATATTTATTATACTCATGTCAAACCAGTTGATGATTTATTACTTATTGGTGTAAAAGACAAAATAATTGAACAACAAAACGAACGAAGATTACTTGGTGATATATTTGATCGACGTCATTATTACTTGTTTCGTCGTCAAGCTCAATATTTATCAAGAAGATCAAATGATATACAAGAGTGAACTACAATAGTAAACATATATATTTTTTCTCTTTCTATTGTTGTATTTTGTTATTATTGTCAGATTTTTTCTCTATAGTGTATTTTTTTTTCTTTATGTTTTATATTTGCTTCATGATATCACATGAACATTTGTTCCTACTGTTTTTTTCTTTTTCTCTTTCATTTGATGCATTTACAGTTATGCTATTATGTTTTAATAAAAAAAGTGTTTTGTAAACAATATTTTTTTCCTTGTCCAAGAAGGATATTATGTCCGACCTCTATATTGTCATTCTTTTTTTCTTTCTATCGTTTCTTTTTTTCTTGTTATACCTGGTGATGCTTATATATATATATATGTGATATACACTTGACTAGTCAGATCATCTTTTTTGAAATAAAAGTTATGTTTGTCCTCAAACGACCTCACATTTGCGCTTAAATTTATTCTAACAAAAGAAGAACATAATAGATAGATCGAAAATTCCCATAGGTAGGTCGAAAATTCCCATCAGTAGGTCGAAAATTCCCATCACCAGGTCGGAAATCCCCATTGATAGGTGCGGAATTTCTGCTCATTGCCAGTTAGATATAAAAGCACGCGTACGTCGTTATTCATCTCATTCCCTCTCAATATTCGTATTATAAAGCTGAATCATTACTGCAAGAGCATACAATTTACATACTTGCTCATATTTATCTACTATTCTCTCATCAGCGTTGAACAGCAACAAGCGATAATGCAAAAGAACATTCAAATGGTTTGTTTAATGGCCTTTTTGGCATTGGTGATAACAAGGTGTATGATACAAGCAACACGAACTGGAGATTTGGGTGGTAATAGTCCTTCTAATCCAACCGAAACACAA